TATTCATTGATGGCCTATCCCAGATATAAAAAGGAAAGACAAGTCAAAGGAAAAAAAAAGTGTCAAAAATGCAAAGGAAAAGGGAATTACAGAAATTGGAGCTACAGGGGAAGCTGTACAATAGGAGTCCAAAAGTTCAGCCAGGTGGAGAATAATGGGTCAAAAACAAAGTAGCTGGAAAAGCCCAGCAGGTCTGGCAGCATCTATTAAGGAAAAAACAGTTAACGTTTTGGGTCCGGTGACCCCTCCTCAGAACTGATCAGATTTTCATTCCCGATTTACAGGATCTGCAGCTCTTTCAGTTTTTTTCCTTCATAGAGCATAATGGCTCACTCCGGCAGCATGCTAGGAAGTCAAACCCAAATTTTGCAGAATCATCACAAAAGTTTAGTATGTGAAGTTCCCCAAACTGGACTTACAGATCTAGATTGAGAGAAAGCATGAACCAGGTTTCTGTCCTGATGAGGGATCACTATTTATCGCAAGTATTTAGACTCTAGCTATGGCAGGGGCTGGGGAAAAAGGGGATTACACTTATAAACCACGAGCATATATTACCAATTAAAAAGGTCTAATCCCCTTGTAAACTCCTTAGATGGACAAATGGGGTAAAATGTCATATGGCAAGGGGGGTGGTTAGTGAAAAGACAGTTCAGTAGCCTTTGCTAAATTTCTGTTGAGACGATCCTTGCAAATCTTCTGCTGGCCAGCACTTCACTTCAGTCATCTTTCTCTGGTTGCTTCCACTGTGTGGTGAGATCACTTCAGTATTCCAGTCTCAGGCAATCTAACTCAGAAAAACTGATTGGCCCCAAATTCCCAGCCACCATCTCCATCCAACTTCTTCAATGGAGCTGGTAAAATTCTGCTCATGACCATAAAATACGATAAACAGACAAGTAGCAAGTCTAGGACAATCAAGGACTGAAGCATGGGTCTAAAATCAATTATCCAAATCAGGGAGGAGAAATTGGCAATTAAACCAAAGGCCAAAAATCAAAGTATATGAAATACATAAATATTTAAAAGGAGATAAGAAATATGTGGGGAATCAGTAAGGAACAGAAGTTTTTAACAGCACTATTTCATGGATGGCTGGTGTGATTAAATTAGGTTTGTAACATTTCTTTTAAGCGTGCATAGTTTTATTATTTGCTTGAGAAACAAAGATAAATATAAAACAGAAAGCATAAAAAGGCAACTTCAAAAGTTCTTGATTGTCTTAGAAAATTAGTTAAACCAAAACCAATACAAAGGCTTCCTATGTTAATTGGATCATAAAAGAAGGAGGAGAGTTTGTAGTGGATAATAACCAAATGACAGGAACACTGCCACAATTTCCAGAGTGGTGATAATCGAGTAATCAGAAATAGATGGAGGCTGTTCAAAGAACAGAACATGCCCAATCAACCTGAAACTGTTAGGCAAAGGTGTTTTCTAGAAGGATCCTGATGAAAAAGTAAGAAATGCTAGAAGCTAAAATAATCATTTTACAAAACTGGGTGGAAAGAAAATGTCAAAATAAGTGACTCTCATCCTCAAAAGCACAAGATGAAAGAGAATCTTAAACTATTCATCTGAATTCAGCATCTAAAATCAAAATAGTTTAATATCACAGGATGGAATTACTAAGCACTTTGAAGACCAGAATTTATTGGGATCGTTGGGCCCATATTTCTAGAAGGCTGATCTTGTTTATACAATACTTGAACATAATGTTTGAATATAAGGATAAAAAGGAAGGGGATGTTGAAACTTATATTTTTAGAAAGCATTCTTCATAATTGCTATTTTCAATAAAATCAGAATCCAACTGCCAAATCAACACATGCTGTTCTCTAAGATTAGTTTTTCTGCAATTCTGTCCTGTTTAATTCAAGACAAAAAAAACAAAAAACAAACTTTAACAGCAGGACTCTTTCCCACAATACTGAAATTCTCTACTGTCCAGTAATAATATACACAAATATATAAGCAAAGAAATAGATAATAATCACATTTGTAGACAACACCAAACTCTCTACTGCATGTATAAAGGCATGTATATCTTTTATGATCACCACCAAATTGTGGTGTGGATCATAAAAGATTACCAAATATGAATAAACAAACAGGATGAGCAGGGATAACAAGGTGTAGAGCTGGATAAACACAGCAGGCCAGGCAGCATCAGAGGAGCAGGAAAGCTGAAATTTCGGGTCTGGACCCTTCTTCAGAAAAATTTCCAAAGAAGGGTCTGGACCCAAAACGTCAGCTTTCTTGCTCCTCTGATGCTGCCTGGCCTGCTGTGTTCATCTAGCTCCACACCTTGTTATCTCAGATTCTCCAGCATTGGCAGTTCCTACTATCCCAGGATGAGCGGGGGCAGTTCTTTGCAGAAAGATGGATTAATAGAACTGTATCATTTTCAAAACACAAATGGATTTTTTTTTTGCGGTTCTTTAAATTTTCTTGTACAACTCGATAGTTCAAGCACAATTTGCATTACTTTGAGGTGGATTAGCCAAAATATTGGCTAAGAGACAAGAATGGTAAAGTAAACAAACCTTAAGCTATACAAAGATTTAAGTATTGTTTGTATCCTATAATTTGAGGTTGAGAGAAACAAAGTAGATTACTGCTGAATTTGCATAAGACTTCAGTGGCAACAACTTAAATTGCAAAAGTATTAGTCATTCCATTACGGAAAGATAGAAAAGCAACAGAAAAGTGTAGTGTACACACATCAGAAGGTCAGCAAGGATAAGAAATACAATGAGAAGTTCTTCCTAACTAGAATCAAAATTAAAAGCAATTAAACTGTGACCTGAAGGCTTCAAAAATTGAAACATCCATGGTTAAAGTATAACAAAGTGTACAGCTGGAGGAACACAGCAGGCCAGGCAGCAGAGGAACAGGAATGCTGAGTTTCAGGTCGGGACTCAGCTTCAGAAATGGGGAGGGAAAAGGGGAGCTCAGGTGAGAAGATAGACTGGTTGTTGCAGGTCAAGGAGGCGGGGGTGAGAGGGGAGGCTGGTCATGGGATGATTGGGGTGGGGAGAGAAATATATCTTTAGTTGTGGGGTCAGATTGTAGGTGGCATACATTGGATGTGGAGATTGTGGGGTGATATGTGAGAACGAGGGGGATTCTGTCTTTATTTTTGTTGGGGGGGGGGAGGTGATGTGAGGGCAGAGGTGTGGAAGACACAAGAGATGCGTTTGAGGACATTTTCAATCACTGGAGTGGCGGATGGGGGTGGTTGGAAGTTACAGTCCTTGAAATGGGCGCCTGCATGGGCCTAAGCTATGCCTGCCTCTTCATAGGATACATGGAACAGTCCCTCTTCCACTGTTATACTGACACTATCCCCCACCTCTTCCTCCGCTACATTGATGACTGTAATCGGCACTGCCTCATGTTCCCACGAGGAATTGAACAGTTCATCAACTTTACTAACACCTTTCACCCCAACCTGAAATTCACCTGGACCATTTCCAATTCCTCTCTCCTCTTCCTGGACCTTTGTTTCCATCTCTGATGACTGCCTTGTAACTGGCATTTATTTCAAACCCACCAACTCCCACAGCTACCTAGACTACACCTCCTCTCACCCACCTTACTGCAACAATGCGATCCCCTACTCCCAATTCCTCTGCCTCCGCCACATCTGCACCCAAGATGGGGCATTCCACTCCTGCACATCCCAGATGTCCTCCTATTTCAAGGACAGTAACTTTCACCCCCACCCCACTCTGGTGATTGAAAATGCCCTCAAACGCATCTCCCACACCTCTGCCCTCACATTGCCTCCCTGCAACAAAAACAAAGACAGAATCCCCTTTGTCCTCACACATCACCCTACCAACCTCTGCACCCAGCATATCATTCTCTGCCACTTCCACCACCAACAATCTAACCCCACAACCAAAGATATATTTCCCTCCCCACCCTCATCTGCCTTTCATAGAGACCACTCTCTCTGTGGCTCCCTTGTTCACTCCACACTCCTCACCAACCCCTCTAACCCCACTACTCCCCGGCACCTTTCCGTGCAACGGCAGGATTTGTTACACCTGCCCCCTCACTTCCATTCAAGGCAAACAAACAAACCTTCAACATCAGACATGGGTTCACCTGCATACATCCGTCAAATTGGTCCACTGCATCCGATGTGGCCTACTGTACAGCGGTGAGGCCAAGCAGAGACTTGGAGACCGTTTTGTAGAACATCTGCGCTGTATGCGACAAACACCGCCACCTTCTGGTCGCAAAACATTTTAACTTCCCCTCCCACTCCCTGGGTAACATGTCCATCCTGGGCCTCCTGCAGTGTCACAACACACCACCTGCAAACTGGAGGAGCAGCACCTCATTCCACCTCAGGAGCCTCCAGCCCAATGAACTGAATGTGGACTTTACCAGTTTCAAAATCTCCCCACCCCCGGCCTCATTCCATGACCAATCCTCCCTCTCATCCCCACCTCCTTGACCTGAGACAACCTGTCCATCTTCTTTCCCACCTATCCACCACTCCCACCTCACTGACCAATCCCCACCACTCCCTACCTGCACTCACCTATCACCATCCCACCTACCTTCCCCAGCCCCACCCCCTCCTCTATTTATTTCCGAGCTCCCCTGCCCCTCCCCATTTCTGAAGAAGGGTCCCAACCAGAAACGTTAGCTTTCCTATTCCTGATGCTGCCTGGTGTGTGTTCCTCCAGCTCCACACTATCTCTGACTCTAGCATCTGTAGTTCTTGCTATTTCATGGTTAAAGTATTAGTGCACTGGATAGTTAAAAGGATGCAAATGTGTAATTAACTCAAAATTAAAGTGCAGTTATAAAAAAAACCTGCATAATTAATTCTATGCTGAAAATAGAATACAGAATTCTGTGCTAATTATTTGTACAAAAAGGTGCTCAGCTATAAAAGGGAGTGACTGGAGTGAAGCAAACCGGAAATTAGACTAAGTGATCCATGATAATTTCAAATTAAAGTTAATTTCTTTCCTCACCTGTAAATTCGCTGCAGAATCAGAAGAAGTTTCAAAATCGAAAACATCCTTTTCCCTTATAGGTGATGAAAGGAAACAAAGAAAAATGTTACAATTTACATTCTTAATCTATGTTTTCCTGCTCATTTTTCCATGGTATTTTTCAAAGCAAATTACATCCACAGACATTATTTTATATACAGTAAAACACCAAGTGTGCTTAATAAATAATGATGATTAGTGGGGAGTTTAATCTGAAGTACATCATGTCTGGGGCAAGGGGCTGAGTTTGAGAAGTCTGCTGGTGTCACTATTGTGAACCAGCTTTCCAGCCAACTGTGGTAAACTGAATTGATCTAACGCTTCTAATTCTTATTTAGAACTAATTTTGTTCAGGAGTATTCCCCTAAAAAATTTTGTTTCGTCGAGTTCAAGATAGTCAATCCTATAAATGCTCAGCCTTTGGTCTACAATGGATATAACCATGCCACAGGGAAAGAAACTGCCTGAGAATGTTACCTTCCTCCAAATAACCTGCTTAATCTTAATAAAGCTTTTGCTATGCTACAAATATCCTGAGGATTTTATCTCCAGTTTATGTCCTCAGTTGTACATAGAGTTCTTTCCAGCTGTAACAGAAAAAACCCAAATCAGGCTCGCTAATTTTATGGTTCTATTTAAAAAAAAAAGCAATAGACTAAGTTATGCTGAAAGCAAAAAAAAAAAATACTAAAATTAAGTATCTAGTTTGATGCTATTTATAATATTGCAAACATTTAACATCTAGGAATATCTAAATAGAATATCCATCAATTTTTAAAGTTTTATTTAAGGCCCCAAGCAAGGAAGATATCAAAAAGGATTAATCATAATTGTTAGAAAAACTCATGATAGTTAAGTGAAAGGGTTTTAATTGTATATTTGGATTCTTCCTGCTTTGCAAATGTGGGTGTTACCCTCTGTATAGATTCCTCCCATTTTCATCTGTTACTGTGTCATTTAACGTCATTCCTTAATTATTTCCTAAAGATTCCTTTATGAAGTTGAACTTTTATCTAAAATCAATTTATTAGTCATAGTTTAGTACTTGTATGGATATTCCTTTCATCACTCCCTTGTTTGTTTAATCTTAAAAACATTGAATTTTTTTTTAAATCAGTAAAGTTGTTTCATATCTCTCCAAGTGCTGTCTTATCTTGGTTTCTGATTGTCTTTATTTGAAAAGGATATTTGTAATCTTCTATCAGTTGGATGATTTCAGTATTCCTACTGTAATAAGCACACTTGGGTGTGAAATTTCCAAGTCTCTCTTTCCGATGATTAAGTCTATTAACTTAACTAATAGCATACTCATGTCCTCCTAAGTATAAAATGGTTACAGTGGGACTGCTCTCTCATGAGAGTGGCGGTGAGTTTAATCTCTCCGGCCCTCAGGCTAGGGGCAATGTTGAGAAGGTGGGACCTTTATGGTAACCTCATCTGGGTATATCCTAGTTCCAAAATGGACTTTACTGACTTTTCCTGTGATTGTCTTTAATTACTAACTCCAATATAACTCTTTATCCTCAAAATGTTCTTAATATCTGTACCCCTAACTAGTCATGTTCATTTTCAAAGATAAAAGGTAACATTTCTTCAAGGGGTAGTGAACTTGTAGAATTCTCTACCACCAAAGGCAGTGGAAACCCCAACATAATGTATTCAATAAAGAAATAGGTACATTTTTGGATGTTAAAAAGGTATCAAGAGTAAATGGAGAAAGCAGGAATATGGCATTGAGGGAGGGAGGGAGGGAGGGAGGATCATATTGGACAGAGAAGCAGGCTCACAGGGCTGAATGGTCTACTTCTGCTCCCATATTTTAGGTGAAACATTTATTTCTAACCAGATATCAGAAACAAATAACTTCAAAGCAGTAGGATTTAAAGATTGATTTAAAAGTTAAGAAAAAAGCTGTAAGAAAATTCCTTGATAGCTTCAGGTAGGATGGCCAAAGCGTTAGGAGTTTAAGAAACACAATATGTTGAGACACTAGAGGTGGTTGTCACCTTTCTTTTGGAAAAGCTTGACAACCATGCCACATACAATCCTATTCTACAGGAAATTCCACAATGGCTTTCATGATGCAGCAAAACAAACATGAAAGGAATGCTTCAAATTTTGCAGTTTAACTTGCAGACATCTTCCTCTTAAGGGCTTGAGAACCAAAAGCCTTGTACAGAATAAGCATGGCTACATGGACTCAGCATTCTGAACTCTATTAACTTAGACTTTGCATTTTATGGACAGTAGCATGCAAATTTCACCAAATTTCTAACTGAATTTTCAGGGATTTAAACTAAAATAATGATAATTCACAAGAAGTACAGCGATATGAAGTAATAACAAAGAATGAAGATTGTTGGCCTGTATCATGAGAGAAAAAGTTAGAATAACAGGTGGCAGTTATTTCATCTGCTGTAGGGCACCTTGGCCAGATTTCATCTGAAATACATTTAGTTGACTATCACACCTCACTAATAATAGCATCTTAAGTAGTCCTTTAAGATAAAGGCTTTGTTCCCTCCAAACTTTGGATCCTGATCTGAACAAACAGTTCAATACTGAATCCACAAACCCAGCCACAGATGGGGCAGGTGGTGTTTGTTGAAAAGACTGGGTATAATGCTGAAGAGGTTTCACACAGGTTACAATTGGCCTGCATCTTGGCCTGCCAAAGATGCTCGAAATGGCTGGCACCTTCGCAGGTACTTCTCTAGTTTGTGGGGTCTTGGGCAAAAGATTAGCTAGTGGGTAGGATTTTACTCCAGAAGGATGAAGTGTTGAGGACAAAGCATTTACTCCAGCTTCAGTATGGGAAGCAGTTACTTGGTCAGAGAAGAGACTTAAACAGAAATTGGTGGACATGCTCTATAGAGAGGAATCAGAGTTAGAGTTAATATTTTAGAAGTCTTCCGAGGAAGGATCACTAGACCTGAACTATTAAAGGATTTCTCTCCACAGGTACTGCCAGACCGGTCGAGCTTTTCCAGAAATTTCAGTTTTCGTTTTTTTTTTTTTTTTTTTTTTTTTTTTTAAAATTTACAGCATCCACAGTTCTTTTGGTTTTTACAGAGAAGAGAGTTGTCGTCTCTCTTGCATCAGAGGCGCGAATGATGTGACCCTGGCCCCATAGTGCTGATTGACAGTAACCACTTTTAATGCTGACTAAAGAGCAGACACCTGAAGTGGAGTGACTGTCCTGCCACGGATTTGTAGGATTTCAAAAACAGGCATCACTGATAATGGTGTTTTCTGCACATTGAAAAAGAAGGGTAGGTAACATTGCTGCCCTGTGGATCACGAACTTGGTGCTGGGTTTGGAGGTTATCATTAAACACACTGTTCCTCGGACGGTTGAAGGATGTACAGGCAAACTGGATGCAATGCTGAATTTCATTATCAAGATCTGCACTCATTGGAGAGGAGGTTCCAAAGGTATGAGAGTCAATTCATATTGTTCAATAGCTCACCATGGATTTTAATAATCAGTGGACATTGTTGTGCAGTGGGAGCAGGCTGATAAAAGACCCTTTGTCTTGTGGATGTTTAACCTAAGGCCATTGTTTCATACGTCTCCACAAAAACATTGACAATGATCTAGAGCTCAGCCTGGAGTGCCGAAAAGTATCATCTGCATTTCGCAGTCAGAATGATATTGGTTCTTGATAGGTAGCTAGGTTGAATAATTTCCTCCTTGTCTTGCAAAATAACTCCACTTGGATATTTGTGGATATGGCATGTAATTGCAGCCAGGAGGATAAAGAGGAGTATGATGACCCCAGTCTGTGTACACGTTGGGTCTGTGGTAATATCATGGCTTATACTTTAAAAGGGGAAAAGTAGCAGAGATAGACAAGTAGGTCATTTTCTACAGTGCGAGATCTTTCCCATGCCAGGACTGGGTAGAGCACTGATCAACCAGAATAATACCAGGGCTTAACTGGTTATGTAATTCAAATCTGTTTGCCAAGATGTCCAGAACAGTACATTACAACCTACAGTAAACCAGAGAACAGTGCCAGTGTTCCTATATTCCATGCTATATTTGTCTTCTATCTCCAATAACTGTGTGTCTTTGCCTCTTCAAAGCAAGATACCTTAATGAAACAAATCACTTCATAATGCAATGACAACCATTCATTCTGCACAAGCTCAATGTTTCAGTGCATAGAGAGAGTGCTTACTTTATTATCTAGGGCAGAAGGCACTGAGGCATTGTAATTCAGACAAAAAATGTCATATGGACATACCAACAGGAATAGGCCTCAGTCTCTTGCACCTTTTCCAAAATTCCATGATCTATGACTGAACTTCATATATTTGCTTTTGCTGCACTAAATCTTTGATAAGAAATTATTGATCTTAAAACTAAATTGTTTTAAACTGTTCCACCATAAGTTAATGTTTGCAAAAGAATTCCAGACATGTCTGGCTCAGGAAATTTCACAACTTCTTACTGAAAATGCCTGGCTCTAAATTTTTGACAAGACTGTGTAGTTCTAGACTTGTCAAACAGTGAAAATAGTTCATCTCTAGCTATACCCAGCTGCTCCACCCAAATGTTTTTAAAACATGCACTAAATCAACAACTGGAGATCATAACATTTGCCTCCACCTTGCTCCTTGCACTTTTCTTTTGGCTGGGTGGATGTTCATCTACGTTTCAGGCCTAGACCCTTTACTAGTCCTGAAGAGGAGTCTAGGCCCAAAACACCAACTCTCCTGCTCCTCTGACACTGCCTGACCTGCTGTGTTCCTCTGACTCCATACTGTATTGACTCTCACTCCAGCACCTGCAGTTCTTGCTATCTCTATTGAACTTCGTCTAGTTTCTTGATCCCTTCATGTTGAATTCAGACAGTTTTTAATGTAGTAATACAAATCTTATTTAGATGCAATCTTTGTTCCTTCACTACATCCATCACCACTCTTTGGCTGTTACATCCCAAAACCTTGTATTATTTCACTTTCCAAACCTTCACTGAACAACTTTTTCTGACCCCATCAATTGACTTAAACACGCTTTAATAACAG